GAGACTCGAGCTCGGAAATGTTTGTTATGCCCTTTGTCAATAATGGTCATGGCGCCACCTAGTGGGACGACTATATTCATAATTTAATGAGATGAAATGTTAGCTGGTGGTTAAATGCATGAATTCCATCAATGTGACATGAGATCGGACGTGCTGGTTTTAGGTGTTGAGCGGGGCTTGACGCGCTGGGGTGCGAGGGCCCTCATAACGCTGCTTGCAGCTTTAATTATTATTATTATTATTATTATTATTATTATTATATAAGGCCATAAGCATGGTAAAGTGAAAACTGCATCCAGGGCAGAAACAACTGCATTATGCTGCTAACACAACCTCAGCTTATGCAAAAAAATGAACAGACAGCATGCTAATGCTAAGCTAGCCAAGAACTCAGAGAACCCAAAGATTTGTGACATTTGGCATGTTTGGAGTGTATGGTTAGTGTGCTGTGTAGTTGCTCTTTCTGTGTGTCAAACACTGAGGCCACTACTGAATGCCACTGACTGACTGACTGAATGCCACTAGACTTGTGAGGAAAGCAATGTTGTGGAAACAACACACCTCTTCACTAGTAGGGATAGTGCCAAAGCTTTCTTCTTTATGGATGAGTAATGCATGTTTTGAATTGACAGAACAGGTGCGTCTAGTACACATAAAATGGGTGTAAAGAAATTATGTACAGGTAGAACGCAGCAGCAAGCACAACAAAATTTTTGGGCCATTCGTGTCCAGCAAGTGGGGACAGTAGCAGATGCTGTTTCTTACATAAAAGGGTTTTAACAATCCCACCACTGAAGGTGACAGTGCTATCCACAGCACTGGTGTGTTACTCCATTTGTACAATTAAACTTGAATGCATAAATGTTAATTTTTTTTCAACTAGTCATTAGCACTGACAATTTATATTTATGGGAAAATCTCCTGGGAAGTTGTTACCTTGATAATCCTGGCAATAATAAGTTTAACCTACAAAGTATGTTTTTGTTACCCTACTTGACTAAATCATTCGTGTGTGTGACTGAATATAAACTGTAGTGGTCAGAGTAATGCGGGTAACATTCCACCTGGATGGTAAATGCCAAATTAATAAGTTAACAGACTAATCAATGATCACTAATCTATCATGAAATCCTGAGAGAATCTGGCCATATATTTAGTTAATTATTTGTCTCAAATTGCAGTTTTAGCCCTAAGATAAAGGAAGGAGGAAGGAAAATAAACTTACATGTGCAATGTGTACATCAGGAAGCAAAACATATCAAGTTCAATTAGCGACATGATGAAGCGAACAAGAAGTCCAGTAATTTGCTTGTTTTTGTGCCATAGGTTCAAGCTCACAAATGTATTGTGGCCAGCTAACTTGGTATCACATTACTCAGGCAAACAATAAAGCTCACACTTGACGCTGTCGTTCGAGTGAGAGTAATGGTAATGGTAAAGTTACAAGGCAACACACAGCCTCGTGAAGAGTAGAAGAAACCGATATATAAAAAGTGTAGCTTATTTTTAATATTAGCACTGCCTGCTTTTCCTTACACTCTACCAGCACAGCGTGATGGAGAGGATTTTCCAAAAGAATCACAAACACGCATAACAGTGGTATTCGAAGTTGTGCCTTTTGGCCTGAAATGGCATCAGTGCGGGCACACAGACTTACTCTCTGACGGGTAGAAGGGCTGCATGTCGATCTTATGCACCTCTTTGGCATAGTACTCCTCCTCGCTCCGCTGCCGTTCGCAAGTCGCCGCCCGTTCGTTCGCTTTTTCTTGCAATAAGTCCCGGGTGCTGTTATAGATAGAGACGATGTCCCGGGACACCTCCTCGGGTTCGGGGAAGTCCTCTGGGGGGGCTGCGAGTTTTAGCTTACTCAGGATCTGCCCTCGGATGGCTTCGATGCGTTTTTTCTTGAATTGATCCATGTCCAGCGTACTGCACGTAGACAGACTGAAAGCCACGGTGGCTATATCCAAAGTAAGGAAAAGGCACACGAGATACACGTTCATTTTCTCCACCAGCGTATTCAAATATCACAATAAATAATCAGGAAACAAAATCAAGAGCGCTTTGCTTTTGAATATCGCCAAACAGATATATTCCTTTATCAACGATCAAAGTGGAGCATTTACGAGTACGAGTAAGCTGGTACCGAAAAATTATTTGAATCTCGAACAGTTCGTTTTAACCAATTTTAGCAGTGTACCGGAAAATCCATTCAACTGCCTCAGTCCAAAAAGAAATCCGTTACTGTGGGACAGCGAGGGTCTGCTCCCGGCTTGTTTGATCGTTGAAGGGGGTGAGGAGTAAATCTGGTACTGAATGTGTCCAGATAAGGACCTTCGCCAACCAAACGGATCTGCAATAGCCCACACGGATTTTTTTTTTTTTTTTTTTTAAAGAGACGAAGGGGAGCCTAAAACCGAGGAGCTATCTTCCACGAGCCTGAGCATCCGAACGCTCTTCTCATCGCTCTCCTGGAATCCAAACAGTCACTCTGTCACACTTCAGCGCTTTGATGGTCCAGACAGATAAATGGGTTTACACTAGCATCAAAACTCGAACGTGCTCTTAGCAGCACCACAAACTTAAACTTAAGCGAAGTCGAATCAAAAATAGCTCCAGTCTTGTTCTCACGACGCTAAAATATTCCTGCAAAAGCAGAGCACTTTAAAAAAGAAAGAAAGAAAACAATAAACCAACAGCAAAAAAACTCGGAGATTGTTCTTGGTACGACTGCAGAGCGTCTCCCTTCAGCTCATCCAGTGGGAGGAAGGATCGTTTCTTATTTACAAATGCTAAGTTGTTAGTAGTGGCTGCTTACTGGAGCATTTTAAGGGACTGGTCGTACGGCGTGCTACCCCTTCTACCAGCTTTGAACCACAGTTATCGTCCTCACTTTTCGGAGCAGGATATGCTTTCAATTCCAGGTCAACAGACGATTTGTGGTAAACAGGGGTGTTCGTTTTGCACAGTGGGACAGCGCGGCAACAGTACTCTAATACGCTGGCTCATCACGGGTCATGAATGCGGGGTCTTATACCCGGGGTTCTGTCCTTTCTAATATGGCCTGGGCATGTGTACATGGGTCCACGATCTGTTACAATAGACAAATTGATTTTTTAAATTATTATTTTTAACCAGAATTTGACTCTTAAACTTTAGATATTGAAACCATACATTTTCAAAAACACATATTATCTTAATAAAATTGCATAATGAGATTAGTGGTTTTTATTTCCAAAATCAAAAGCAGAAATGGGGTTGCCAAATGATAGGGAAAAAAATAGAGCTGCATAACTTAAGAAAAACATCATGGAAAATTGATTGGTTCTTATATAGTAATTTTCTATTCTACCTGAGCACTCAAACCCTTTGTACAGCATGGCTCATTCACCTATCTGTACAAGATTTTTTTTTCTTCTATGCTTATTGTTATTATTATTTTTATTTAACTTTCTATTTAAATGTTATAAGGTATAATACTCCCACACTCCAATGGATGCATTGGTAAGCAATGTGGGGTTAGTATATTTAACATGCAAACTAGAGCAGCCAGGGATTGAAACAAAACGACCTGTGTAAGGACAAGAAAGACACTGTGGACAAAACAGGAGCCATAAGCCCAGGCCTAAGTCTCCGTGATATGTTGGAGATTAAAACAGACCTCACCCCCATGCAACTTTGTACCATGCTGAGGAGACACTACAATTACTATTATTACTACTACTATTTTATGTAGCGAGGTTATGTCCAGGTGACGGCACCTTACTCAGTAAAGATGCAGATACCCGTGATATGGATGGAAAAAGCAGTGGACTGTTATCGTGCACAATAACACCTGCTGCGACATATGACATGAAGGGGAGATACATGTCATGTGTTTCACTGTGGCTAGCAGTGATGCTGAACTCTGACTCCTAAAG